TTCTACCGACATTTCGCTATTTGATATACTACTGATAACTTTATCAAAGTAACAGTAAACTGGAATTTACACAGAATCTCAGTCTACGGACATGATAACTCGATCATATGACATAATACTACACACTACTGATAGGGTGAATGATGTACCAGCCAGACTGGAGTGATTTAAACACCGAACGGTCGTTTGAGGCCAACCTCATCATCATTTGTGTACGCTCCCCCCTGTTTGACTCATCTCAAAGAACCGAAACGGTTCAAACCACCCGATTTCTAACTAGCCACTTGAGTGAATTAATGTATTATGTATGCCTAGTCATCGCCTTCCTCGACCGACGGGCAGTGCTGACTGACATAGGATCAGAATGGAAAAGAACTAGCGGCGGTCAAACCAAAACATGGTACCAGTCAATGAAATCCACAACAGTTAGTTTAAGCCATGTAGAAAGGTCTAAACGTCCTGGTCCTCGGGACGGTAAATACCAATGGCTGAAGGCAATCGGTGATATGTCTCAAAATCGTTCTCAATGGCTGGTGAAGATGCATCCACTCCTTGTGACTTGTAATTTCCAATGAAACTATATTGATCTTCGTTATTACTATTCCTTTGTCTCACACCTCTGTCTACCGTCTCTATTAGCAATTTCTTCTGCTTTCTTCTCTTGCTTTGTGTGCTACATCGAGTGTGGCGACTTGAACGGCTGCACATCGGTGCAAAGTTCTATGTTGAAAACATACTGATAGACAGAATTCGCGATTTGCAATTTAAACAGTACACGGAGAAATTCTATTGGTTTCTTAGAGAAATCAAAATTACTTAGGAAACACATACAGTATGTTTTTGATTTGGGTGTGTTCTCTGACCTTGTTGATTCAGTTGTGAAGCTTTCGTTGTCCTTCTACGAATAACAACTTCAGGGTAAGCTTTAATAATAAAGTGAACTTATATGAATTCTCTATGTGAATGATATATTTGTATCTCTGCTGACAATCACTGTTGTAATTGGTTTTTAATTTACATCTGTATTGATAATTTTTGTTGACTTGGAATTTGAACTTTTATGTTATGTAAATTATTTGTAATTAGTTGGTAAATCTGACCTATAATAGTATTTGTTAATCTCTGCTGTTTCGTCTAACTGTCAAGCTTTTAGAAATTCCCTGGCAGTTTTGGTATTTCATCTGTTTACAATTTCCACATTATCCCTATCAAAGTTCAGATTCCAAGTCAATAAAAATGATCAATAAAGAAGTGAATTAATAAAGAAAAAATCACGATAACGGTTACCGGGAGATATTTTTATAGTCATTCATGAAGAACTCAATTAATTCGACTTCATACTAAAACCTGTGCTACAGATGTTGTTTTGAAGGACAACGAAAGCTTCGTAATTAAATCAGCTAGCTCAGATAACACAATTCAATCAAAATCATTCATCTGAACTACAAATCTTTTCGCTTATTACATACAGTTTGTGTTCTGCTCGATTCTGTAAATGGTAATCAAGAAAGGAAGTACAAATGCATGATGATATAAACTACTGATTGATTGAAATGAATAGTTGGGCGCCACTCACATCAACAAGTAGTAGTAGGGGGTAACGCAGGTCGGGTGTGAGGACAAATAATCCACGAAGACATTGGCTAGTGGTCGCGCTATGTCGCGAATTAGAAGAAATTAGAATTCATAGGCTGGCCATTGGATCGGTTCCCAGTGGCTTAATGGTCTACGAGCTCGCTTTGAAACCGGAAGGTCCTCGGTTCGAACCCCGGAGGGTGCGTACTGCTGAAGAGTTCCAAACTAGGATGAAACAGTTGTCCAGTACTCCCTGGTGTTCCAGTGGTTCTCTAACCAATGTCAGCTCATGATGAAATCCTCTGACCAATTAATCGAATCCCTGTAAACCAATACTTTAATATGGATAACGGATAGTTTGAACTGATTTGGCTTTCTGAGTTTTATCACACCGTGTACCTCGCTCATGAACTCGGTCTGAAACGAGCGAGATTGGAATCCCGTGTTTATATCACTTTGACCTGGTTGGTGAGCTCTAATGGTTGACGAGGGTGGTATACTACTACTCATATCAATCAATTAGTAGTATATAGTGCAGTGCATTTATGCTTGATTTATGATTGACGTTTATAACATCGAACATATTCTGTGTAATTTGAGTAGTTTCAGTTTCCAAAAGAAACTATGCTGAAATCTTACCTGGAACTGTGTAAATTGCAAACTAAGAATTTGATAACTCAATTATAGCTCTAGTTTATGGGTAATTCTGCATTGAAAAATGAATGAATGAATTCAGATAACTTAGTTCTTTTTGATTGGACACTAGTCAGTAAGTAATGTAATGTATGTAGTCCTATCTTCTGTGCAAACTGAATTCTATCAGTCAAGCATGTAATGTGACTACAGCACTGGATGACGCGGGTTCGAATCTCAGAAGGGACATGAGTTCCTTAGAGGTGCCAACTAGCACGAAACCTAGGTCCATGGCTTTTTGCGATTGCCTCCAACCATCTAATATGACGTTCTTCTAAGTCTCTCAGTGAGCCGATAGCAAGTTCCGATAAGTAGGAAAATTTAGTGTAAAGGCTAACAACTACTCCACTCCATCTAAACAAATACAAGCGCTGCAGAAACTTTAATGTTTGAAGCCTGAAATTCAGTGTTTTCCACTCGTCGTGCAATCAGTGAAATGACTTGCATCTAAAACATTACAATTAAGAACAGTACTTTTAACTCTAAGATGCCGTTAGATGAAATTGGGTTAGAAATTTTAGGAGAACTGATAAAATACAAATCGAATATGCTCTAAATGGGTCATTTTTGAAAACACTGTAGAAGATTAGCACAACTTAGACGGGAAGTGTTATCTTCTTCAATTCTTCCCATTCCTTGAATTACGCATTTAACACAAGGCATCAGGCTTTTGAAGTTTCACTAGTGATGGCGTTGCTTTTACGAAATGCAGCTGCTAGCCTCACTGGTCAAGTCAGGCTTAGGTGTATGTCCGCCAGGAGTCGAAACCGGACCTCATGTGCGGTTGTGGAATATTCTGCCAGCGAATCACCGACACTGTCTTCCTGTATTATCTCTTCCAGTAGACACAATATTCTAGGCATACTGGTCGGTCGTGATTCAAAGTCGTTAAAAATTAACAGAATAGTAGAAATCAAAAACTACGAGAATTCATTTTAAGCGACTGTTTACTCTATCTTGTGACCTGACGGTTCTGAACTTAATCTATACAAGGTCGTAGATAAACACTGTTGAAAATTATGAAGTTAGCACAAAACAGATGTTTCATGTTCCGCAATTTTTAGAAGTATTTCCAAACCTACAATACCAAAGAACAGTGATCGAAGTGAACAACCAAACCAACGATGTTGGTGTGACCTTCATTTATGAAGGAGGAAACGAGTTCCCTAAAAAATAACGAATTCTGTCCAGTATTTATTGAGTAGATTAAATCCGAGAAAAAATGCCCCAAGCCAAATCCTATTTTGCAAATTCAGTTGCTGAACCTGAACAAGTACTGATTTGGTTGAATGACCACACTTCTATGAGGAACTGCAGATACCTCTGCTCCCAATTTTGATCACGAATTGATATCAGTTAGAAAACCATTGAAAACCAAGGAGTATTCAATGGCTGTTTCGTTCCAGCTTGCGACTCGTCATCAGTAAGCACCCATAACCTTCAGGTTACGAGGCGAGCTCGTTGACCAATCTCAGTCACTGGGACAGAATCCAATGGACCATGGATCTAAGCTTCTGTCAATTTACAATATTTAGCGCCATCAGTTGAAGATGTTCTTGCAACATTTTCAAGTATGAAACCTTTCCAATATAATTACACTCCTATAGACACTTGCTAATGAACATACTAACCTTGCTAAGTAAATTGGCTTGCCTTATTCTGATTGGCCCCTTCAAGGTTGCTTGAGTCGTTCGTTTGCTCGTATCTTTAGTCTCTAACTTTGCTTTTTACCTGGGACGGCGTCCTACTCAAATCATTGGGCTACCAGAATCTCCATCCATCAAAATGCTTAAACATTTCAGCATTTCTTATTGTCTTAATTATGCAATTATATGAAATGGCCACTACATGAACCCGAATGCATATTTCATTATTTTTGAACAAGACACTGAGCAATTCATGGAGGAAATGGTGGGAGAAAAAACTTACAGAATTGGTTCTCTCTTCATACGCAGCAACACTACGTCATATGATATACTTCAGATTATTGCATTACATGTAAATCATATATGAAGAGGAAATATTTCGGAACTAATTACGCTAAAAATTTCTGTACATATTGTCTGAAATAAATCTTTACTACTACTATTATTATTGTTTAACCAATATTATTTAGTTACTTATAAAGTTTATTTCAGAGCTAATAAAATTCGCACAAATCTATCAACTGAGTTATAACCTAATTTTGTTCATCTTAACAAACACAATTTAATTTTAAATAGTAAAACTGTCATCTTTAATTTATGCACAAAAAGTAACCTTGTTGTTAGTGCATCGAATAAGCATGAATCACAGTTAAATAACGCAATATGTCAGTGAAAATAAAAGCTAATTAAAAAGGATTCCATTCCTCAGTAAAATGTAATAACAACTAACATATTCATCCTCACAACTTCTCAGATTCATCTTCCCGTCAGTTAACTGGACAGAAATGTCTGGCCTCTGCTGACATATCGGTCCCTTGTGAGAATGTATCGACGATATCTGAGGGTTAATTTGAAGTCGTTTGGTGGATGGTGACTGCAATGGGTAGTGGGTTCAATTCCCAGTGGAGACACCATCATCACTCGCTAGGGAAACCAGGTATATCCAGATAAAGAGTCCCAAATAGGACGAAATGCACATCCTGGATTCCACTGCTAGTCACCATCCACCAAATAATTAACAACATTTATTTAAAAATTATACCAATAAAATAAAAAGTATGATAAGAAAATCAAAAAAATCCAAACCTTAATTCCTGCATCACGTTCAGCTTCAGCAACTCCTATATCAGCGTCTCTTTTCACAATTGCAGTTTGTGCACGTCCCAAAGAATTTAAATATTCCACACGATCATAAACATCTTTTATGGTGAAACTTAATATTTCAATTCCCATACGTCCTACATCTGGTGCAGCTACTTCACGGACTAGTGCAGCAAACTGATCACGATCCTAAAATAAAAAAATATACGTTTAACAATCCATGACCAACTCGTAAAAACATATACAAACTACAGAAACTGTAATTCACTGGTCTCGCTTTGTCTTAACACGGTCTATAGGATACTAAAGAGGTGTGGATGTACACTCACGTGTACATAAACCTCCAACTTAGTATACTAGTACCTAGTTTAATAATTCCCTTAGTAGCATTAGTACCTCAATAGTCAGAGAAGAGACGCTTTTAAACGGATTTATTATCAAACTATACAGTCGTATATATATATATATATATATATATATATATATAAGAAAATTTTCTTCGCTGCATTTGTCTTCTTAATAACTCCTATGACCCAATGTGTATATTCCGTGATATATGAGACTATCTAAATTGGTCTCCAGCTCAGTTCCAAAGAAAATTGTCTTCATGAATTTGTAATTCAGAAGTGGTCAGCCTTCATATACGCTTGAAAATCGTTTTCCTAAGTTAATCAGTAAGACATCCTTAGCAGCTAAACACCGATTTTTATTCACTAACCACAGGTTGTTCTTTGTCTCTGTAAAAGGTGATTTCCTGCCTCCATGTGCATCTATCAGTTCATCTGCTGCACATCGATGCAAAGTTCTATGTTGCAAACAGATCAGTTCATCTGCTTCTGTGGAGCAAGATAAATAGGTCGTAGCGAGACAATGCTTTCCACAAATGGATACGATAACACATTCCAACATGATTTTACAAGACAGATAAAGCAGTATTAGAAAATATATTCTAAAACATAAAATCAACATCTGTCACTCAACCGAACCCAATCATGACTTTAAAGTCATTTATGGAGTTCGTGTTAAACTACCGCGTTTTCTTCATTCTAAACTGTTAAAGACAATGGAGGTCTTGGTCATTCATGAATTCAAGACAGACCTTTGTGTAGGCAAGGAGCCTATGTAATCCCTGTTTTTACCTTGGCCATAACGGGGTAAACATTTATTCATAATTTCGTTTTATTTATCATTTAATCTTTATACCTTCCCTCTTATTATTACGATTGTTTTTATTTTCATTTAGAAGAGTTATCTTTATTACTACACTTATCTCATTTATTATTATAATTCAATATATATATATATATATATATATATATATATATATATATATATATATATATATATATATATATATATATATATATATATATATATATATATATATATATATATCGGTAATAATAAGTTGTCAGAAGAGTAAGACAGGAGATAATGTAAAGAAGTAAAACGACGAGTCTAATTATCTATCCCTGAATGGTGTATGCGACTTATAAGGGGATAGACCATTTGGATGCACTCCTTGTGTCGGTGCATGGTTGTCCAGCCTTCGCTTAAAGGCGTCCAAAGATGGTGACATAGCTACATCTGCCGGTAAGGAATTCCAGGGACGGCAAACCCGCAGTGAAAAGAAGAGCGGCGACGACAACAACAATAACTCTTAGCACCAGTATCATTGTCAAACACACTTGACAAAAATGACACCAAAACCATAGGCTCGCTGAATTGGGTCAACTCGGGTATGTAAATCCAACAATATATACAATTATAGATATTAGTTTGCGTTAAACAGTCACAAAATGCCGAACAAATAGTTATAGGCATTATCAGTCAACAAGATCATATACACAGATTCAGCGTTCGAAGGTAAACTAATCACAATAAATTTCACAAATTTTCTGGCGAGAAACACCAGAGAAATGAGAGATTTATGTAGCCTAGGAATCGTTGCGTACTCTGGTGAACAGTTAGGAAACTGTTATCACCATGACGTTTCTCAGGATTTAATTCAGACTTCATTGCTCCACTGATTAGATTTCACCCATTTATTATTATGATTCAATACGTATATATATATATATATATATATATATATATATATATATATATATATATTTCCCAAGTATTGGTTTTGTAGGAAATTTTGTTTGATTGGTTGGAGGATTTCATCATGAGTTGACATCAGTTAGAGAACCATCGAAAAACCTGGGAGTACTGGACAGCTGTTTTTCTCAATATTAAAATCTATCTTATTAAATTGCTTAGTATATTAAGTAGTGTTTTCATTTGCTTACTAATCCCGTTAATTTTATATTCATTTCCAAGATCTATACATTCCACGAACGTAGCTGAGAAATATCACAAACAGCAAGACTAGTTGTCTATAACAAGACCCATATTTTAATAATAGCTGTCAGATAATGGAGATACATTATCCGAATCGCTAGGCATATCTTAATATAAGTGTAGAACTTGGGTACTGTGGTAGGATGTAATTTCATATTAAATAAGTTTATTTTAATAATCACACAGTGATGCAGTATCAACAACTGGATGACAAGGTTTCGAGTACAAATTACTGCTTATAATCATATCATTTCTATCACACAGTTTCACAGTTTGTCTGGTTTATATTTTCCCTCTTTCTCTCTCTCTTCATCTTCACCTCTCCATATCCCCGGTATAGGCGCTGCGTCATTCCGATTTCACGTGTGTGGTATAAAACTGTTAAACAAAGCTCCAGTGATTGACCTCTCTGTCTCTCCACCTAACTATGCTACATTTTAATACTCTCACCCAGTCCCACTCTATTTTGTGACTGCATGCAAGTGAATGTAGTGTAATGGTTGAGCTCTCTTCTCTAGGTTATTTAACTTAGGTGGGGTCAAGGATTCTAGTCTTGGCTAAATTTTTACGCTCCAATAATCTAGTTGACCCCAATCTACTAGTTTGACCTATGCAACTGACCTCACAGTCATTAAATGGTATTCGGTAAATTATATCATTTTTTCCTAATTGGACCTATTGGGTCCTTAAACCGACAAAGTGGGCATATTTTAGACGAACGACCAACAGTGTTTCAAATGACATGGTATATTTAGTTAAACAGGTCAGTTACAACAGTACAAGTGAACACCGAATACTTAGCACTAAGCTATTGTACTCTGTTAGTCTATACAAATTACTTCACATTGTAATATTAAATCTTTTAGTCATTAAAAAGGGACTATAAGTGTATAACTAAATAAATAAATCAAAAAAGCTAGTAGCTATTATATCTTCACAGAGTCTATCGAATTTTTCACACTTTCAATAAAATTAACACTTCTTCAAGAATTGAAAACATTTATTTCCCGATACGAATTTAAAACAAGCAATAAAGGTTAATAAAGCAGGATTTAATGAATTCATCAAATTTCGGTAGAACTCGTCAGCTGAATACTCTACATACACGAATATATATACTTTTGAAATTACATTGGGAGATATAAGACTGATAAGTTGAATACTCTACATACACGAATATATATACTTTTGAAATTACATAGGGAGATATAAGACTGATAAGTAAACAAACTACATTGAATTAATCATGCAGAGAGACAGGTGCGAATATTTTTCAGGTCATGTTCAAATAGATAAGGGGAGAGAGAGAGTATGAGAGATCAAAATTAAGATAAATTGCATTACGCTTCAATTACATCACTTAGATAAACAATTAGTCATTAGGGAATATAACGAGAATTGCAAACAGACTAATATCAATAGTAATAGTTTTAATAACAATAATAATAATAGTGTTGAAGTGAGTTAAGATAATCTTACGGATAAAGCATAGATTTAAATGAATCAAGAATAATAATAATAATAATGGTAGTAATAATAACAAAAATAATAATAAGAAGAGGTAGAATAATAGTAATAACAAGTAGAGAATAATAAGTAAAGCGTATTACCATGGTAGATTCAGAGTGACGACCATCTCCTTTTGTATACAGAGGGCTGGTTTGTAAATTCGAATTGCACAAGCCTCTGCAATTGCAAGCATCTTCTTGTTTCTTTGTTTGCTGACGATGGTGAATGACTTGACGGCGTCGATATCATGTCCGTAATCCACGAGATGTTTTGTTATTGAGGATTTTGGGACTTTGCACTCAGCTGTTTTCAACCATTTTGGCAAATGCTCCATCATGCGAGTAGACAATCGCCTTTCCGTACGACCTATGTATTTGCTGCCACAAACACACTCAAATTGATATATGCAGTTTGAAGTGTCGAGGATTGGCGACTGGTCTTTCCCAGATTGTTGAAGCACTCGCTTGGTGGTGTTAAGGATAACGAGTTTTGCAGCGTAATAAGTTCTCTTGATGGCTTTGTCAAGTCTTCGTTTCACTATTTCCTGTACGTCATCTCCTTTGAATGGCAAATTGATATAGACAGGTTTCTTTGGAACTGTCTGAATTGTTTTGCAAGGGGTAGTTTCTTTAGAGTATTTATTAATGAACTTCTCAGGATATCCATTCTTACATAAAATATCCTTCAAAGATTTTATTTCATGTTCAATAGTACTGTCAGAACAAATTTTCCGTGCTCTATTGAACAGTGTTCTGACTAAGTTCTTTTTGTATTCGATTGGAACAAAGCTCTTGAAATGCATGTACTGTCCTGTCCATGAGGACTTTCTAAATATAGATCTTTCGATTGTGCCATCATTCATTTTGGTCAGAAGAACGTCTAGAAATTTAATAGTATCGTTTTCCTCGTGTTCTACTGTGAAATTGAGATTTGGATGGCATGAGTTGAATTTTGTTAACATGTCTTCCGCTTTTGATCTGCTTTCACAGACAATAAAAATGTCATCAACATATCTTAGGTATGCATTTGTTTCTTGTATATATTGCTGCAAAGTCCTCATGGACAGGACAGTACATGCATTTCAAGAGCTTTGTTCCAATCGAATACAAAAAGAACTTAGTCAGAACACTGTTCAATAGAGCACGGAAAATTTGTTCTGACAGTACTGTTGAACATGAAATAAAATCTTTGAAGGATATTTTATGTAAGAATGGATATCCTGAGAAGTTCATTAATAAATACTCTAAAGAAACTACCCCTTGCAAAACAATTCAGACAGTTCCAAAGAAACCTGTCTATATCAATTTGCCATTCAAAGGAGATGACGTACAGGAAATAGTGAAACGAAGACTTGACAAAGCCATCAAGAGAACTTATTACGCTGCAAAACTCGTTATCCTTAACACCACCAAGCGAGTGCTTCAACAATCTGGGAAAGACCAGTCGCCAATCCTCGACACTTCAAACTGCATATATCAATTTGAGTGTGTTTGTGGCAGCAAATACATAGGTCGTACGGAAAGGCGATTGTCTACTCGCATGATGGAGCATTTGCCAAAATGGTTGAAAACAGCTGAGTGCAAAGTCCCAAAATCCTCAATAACAAAACATCTCGTGGATTACGGACATGATATCGACGCCGTCAAGTCATTCACCATCGTCAGCAAACAAAGAAACAAGAAGATGCTTGCAATTGCAGAGGCTTGTGCAATTCGAATTTACAAACCAGCCCTCTGTATACAAAAGGAGATGGTCGTCACTCTGAATCTACCATGGTAATACGCTTTACTTATTATTCTCTACTTGTTATTACTATTATTCTACCTCTTCTTATTATTATTTTTGTTATTATTACTACCATTATTATTATTATTATTCTTGATTCATTTAAATCTATGCTTTATCCGTAAGATTATCTTAACTCACTTCAACACTATTATTATTATTGTTATTAAAACTATTACTATTGATATCAGTCTGTTTGCAATTCTCGTTATATTCCCTAATGACTAATTGTTTATCTAAGTGATGTAATTGAAGCGTAATGCAATTTATCTTAATTTTGATCTCTCATACTCTCTCTCTCCCCTTATCTATTTGAACATGACCTGAAAAATATTCGCACCTGTCTCTCTGCATGATCAATTCAATGTAGTTTGTTTACTTATCAGTCTTATATCTCCCTATGTAATTTCAAAAGTATATATATTCGTGTATGTAGAGTATTCAACTTATCAGTCTTATATCTCCCAATGTAATTTCAAAAGTATATATATTCGTGTATGTAGAGTATTCAGCTGACGAGTTCTACCGAAATTTGATGAATTCATTAAATCCTGCTTTATTAACCTTTATTGCTTGTTTTAAAATTAACACTGTTGCAAAAATGATAACTGCACAATTAATGATTTGAGAACTCACACGATAGATTGCTTCTACTGTTAAAGTTCCTAAAATAGCTCTTAAATGTCCTTCCATTGTTTGAAGGACAGTATTTTGTATTTCACTTTGTTTCTTTCCCAAAAACTGTTGACAAGCTGCTTCGAGTAGTTTATCGTCTCGCATCACCTTTACTTGGGCAACACCTTTTATAACAGGCAATAGTGTAAGATAAACAAAAAGCAATCCTATTTACCTGTAACCGTTAAAGGAACTCCTTCTGATGTTTCAACATTTTCACACACTGGATTTAAAGTCATTACCCCGAGTGAAATTCTGATGGATTAGAAAGAATTTTTTAAGAGGAAAAAAACGCTTACTTTTGAACTTCGGTGACAAGCCACCAAGCCCATCCCCATCCACCAATTATTGTACGAACTTTTGCAGCCCCACAACATCCTCCTATTAAAGTATTTAGAAACAATAGAGAAAATTTAAGCACTCTTCGTTTTAATACATCTTTATATATCTAAAAAGACAACAAGAGTATCAGACTAGGGAGCAGTCAATCAGTGAAGGCACAAATATAATCATTTTCTTATTGCTGACTATAATGAATGCATAAAAGTTTGACCAATTAGTTAAGTAGATCTAAAAGTATCATATGAACTTAATAGACTGCGTACAGACTCTGAATTGAAAAGAATTTTAATTTCATCTCTAAAACGACTAATGTATAGGTTATGGAGAACTTAGTCACTTCTACTGTACTTTTAAAAACCAGCTAACCAGCTTTCTGTTCAAGTCCTGCTACTATGGGACAAATACTATACACAAAATGTTATTTTGTACACTTGACAATTCGAAATTATGCCATTTCTAAGTAAGGTATTCAAGTCCACCACAACTCAAAAATAAAAAAAATCTTTTGCAAGTATAACTGAAGTTTATCCGCTGCATTTTCTGACCCAACCTTGTTCATAAGAGAGACTTAAGTAACCCTTCTACTCTTTGAAATAAATTTAAGTTGTTTCTGACTGAAAGGTGTGGCCAGTATCCTGATATTCTTTGAATCCCTACTACGAAAGAACGCTAAATCCTAATGATATAAAATTTGAAGCATTCGTGTAAATAAACCATATAAAAAGTGAATAAACTAGATATTAAAGAAGTGAATCTAAATCCTTAAGACTGAATGCTAGTGAACACAATTTTACTGGTCACAAAAGATAGTTTTATCACCAGCATTCAATGGCGACTGATTGCTTGCATCTTTTGAATTTGATCGGTTGTTGGTACTAATACGATTTGTATTCTTCTAATTTTGCTAATCTACTAGTGATAGCAGTTCCTAAAAAATTTGTCAGCCAGCTTATAACTAAGCAGCTTTTACTTCCCCTTGTGTTTATACTCCGCTGAATCTTGCATTGAGCAGTCGAAGCGAAACCGACGGAAACATTAGCTTTTGCAAATCCTAAACCGCACCTGTTCAGATGTCTTCACTGTATCTCCAGAGGACTGGATATGGTGACAGGTAGTATACGCTACATTCCACATACAAGCAGTCGCATCACTGACATTTCTATTTAATTACATTTTCAGAATAAGAGTTTGGGATTTCAACCCATAGGACGAAATTTGTTATCACGAGATACCGAAATTCATATATGTAACAGCTGACTGGAAAAATCTATTCAACAGTGAATAGTTACTGCTTCGTCTCAAGACTTTCACACTTAGATGTCAGCGAAAATATATAAAATCTACTGCTTAACAACCAGACAATGATCTCAGGATTTAAATACTTACTCTGCCTACTCTGGCGTAAAAAAACTACGTATGTTCAACTTATTGTCTACACATGAAATACCTGTTACAGGTAAATTAGCCAAGTGATATCAGTGATGCATTGTTGAGACAATGTCTCTATATGTTCGAAATCAGTTCTGGATTTATAAATACTGTAATCTCAACAGAGTTGTAGGACACGATCACCATCACCGATTCATGGACAAGAGACCACACGAACATGTCGAACATTATTTTGTGATTGGCTTAAATTCCCTACTTTAGCATTAAGATCGCACACTAATATGATCCCGCCTGTGTCTTCAGATTTTCAATAAGCTGAATAGCTTTGTATAGGGCTTATTCTTTAGTTCATATGAGCTGTAGACAACAGGTTGTGGGCGGATGTTGTGAAAATACGAAAACCAGAATGCAAAGTTAAGAGTCATGGTGAGAGAGACTTTATCGAACACTAGCACATAACAGGAGGAACAATATCAAGAGGCAACGAAAATAGAGCAGCAAAAATGAGTTTCGCAGGCTGGACGAAATGGACGAGTGATTACAATGTCCTGCGTGTGTATACGAAAAACGCGCTGGAATTTACAGCTTAACAGAAGTTACACGGGCAGTAGGGTATGGGCGTCCATAAAATGGGCAGCCAAGTGATTTCATGGAGATCAATGAAAATATCCGCACTTCCAAATATCAATAAACAAACACGTCTGGGATACTTTAGCCGACTGTAGACCATCATACCGACAGTTTTAATCTACAGGACTTTAACATCCCAAAAACTCCAGACAAACGAACGACAAGTTCACACACATTTGGAATTAATGGTCAGTCTCTACGATGTAATCGTGTTTTCATTTAGGTTGGTCACACACATCGTCCTCTAAGCAACAATTACTCTTCGATGAAAAACGCCTCTATCAACGCAGAAATTATTTCTCAGCAACATCGATCTGTGGTCATCGTGCTTGCTATTCTCACTTACTGCTCAATATTTGACCCCAACATTACTCGTTATGCTCCTTCACTACACATGAATACAGCCACAAACACAATAGATTTCAACAAATGTAATGCCTTAACCTTATCACTCTCCCAAGTGAAGAACAGAAAAAAGATTATAGAGCTTTTATCTAGTTAGAATCTGACGATACACTCAAAAATATCAACACATGTGTGCTTTGAGATAATAAATGTGTGTGAAATATTCCCATTACTAGCAACCATGGTAGCATAAATCAATTAATTGCCACAATCGAAAACTGGCCCTTTTGTACAAGCTTATTTTGTCGAAATCAATTACCAGAAATGACTAGGGCTTCACTAGGACCAACCGTATGAATATTTCCCATCTAGTCAATTCAAAAAGGTGCGGGCACTGAACAAGGCGTTTGAGAATATGTTTCGTGTAGAAAAACAAACTAGATACAACATGAACTCTTCGCAGAACTTCTGAAGGTAACTTCTGTCATTCATACTTGGGAGACGTGTCGAAGTGAAGATAAGCTTGAATGAGTAGCTAGGATTTTGGATGTTACTGCACTTGATATTGGTGAATATTAGTGGAAGTTCTCATAATTGTAGATTGTATGTAAAAAATGCCCACGATCTAGGACATACGAATTTAAGTGCTTTGTTCAAAAGAAAGAACATGCCTCAATGCTACGAATCTGAATTTTGATGTCCACGAAAGGCATTTTATGGATCAGCGCCTTCTGCTCTCTGCTTATTCTTGCTTGGCTCCCGTCTGGATAGAAGTGTAGGAATATCAGTATATATATTTCTCCCTGTTTATGCGGGAACATACCAATTGTACAGGCATGGATAAGTTATTATATGAATTACACATAATTTGATGTATGATGGATTTACAGTTTGGTTGTTCTTTCTGACATTAGAGTCAGTCGGAACAGTCTGCTATAAAGTTTGTTTGTGTAGCACATAAAGAGATATAGAAATATTGTCTTCGCATTAACAAAAAACCCAGATATCAGATGAATGTAATACAGATATCTGGGAAAAATAAAGCTTGAAGTCAATTCTCCTATATAACTTTGTTGTGAACGGCACCCTTGGCTTAAAGATTATTGATGTATTATGTTGAGATCAGTGATATATTTATTCCATTATTTCAGCAGTCTTATCGTAGTTTCATAACAGGAAAGAAATTTGATCGTGGATACGAAAACTAGGTAAGGTCATGCTAAGTTGTTTTACTGCATCAAATGGTGCCGAGGTCGATTCCAGAATTCTCCATTTGCGCCATTTGTGTTTGCATGGTGGACTGTACTCGTAAGTTGAGTAAAGTGTTGAAAACTGCTTGAAAACCAGTTACTTCTTCATTTCAGATCATGAATACTCATTTACAGCATGTTCGCCGGCGTCTTCAAATGGTAGAATTGGATCGTTCATGGAATTTGAGTGATTATGAGATAAATGGTGCGGAATTATTCTTCATTTCAATTTAGATGCAGGGTTGTTCGACCTCGACCATAAGATAAATAGATTATGAGCAGTAGCAGAATATCAGAAAGAGAAAGTATGTGAACATGAAAAGGACATTAATGTTTCATGCATATATAAATGTTTATGTCAATTGTACATTATACCTTAGTAAACATTTACCTATATTGCAGTTGTGTTTTCACGTATGCGAAGTCTTAGAGTTCATTTAGTGTCATAATGTGTATTAATGAGTCTGAGCGTTTTAGTGTTCTAATGACTGTTGCGTTTTAGAAATAAGTGATGGGTTCTGGTAGGGATAATCATTGGGACAAAACAGTTTATACAGCAAGCGTTTGAAGGTTACAATAGAGTGACAGGTCCTATTTCTGAGGGTAAACTATTCCTGTATCTTCCGTACTAAGTCTTTATGCATCCATGCTACTAGTTTATCTATAGTTTTTAGATTGCTAAGGGTGTTGAAGTGCGTCTTTTAGGTGCTGTAGTAGATTAGTAGTTGATTCGTTTTAGGAGTAAATAGTTTACTAATATAATCAGTCACTGTGGAAGTTTGGTTACGCAGATCGTAAGAACCTTCCTGTGCGAATTGTATGTCCCTGTTACTTGAGTATGATATTTTGTGAAGGACCTTGAAGAAGAATATTAGGTTTATAATAAGTCGCCTTGTCCAAAGTGGGTCAAGTTATAGGATCACGCACCGTGAGATGTAGTCTTTCTTACAATCGTAGCCAAGTAGTTTTGAGGTAAAATATCGTATGGTGATAACAGACATGCTGAAAGCTGCATCTCAGATCAAGTTGATTCATTCGATGGTAATGATCTGCCCCTGCATGCCTTATTCGACATATTGAATGGAATGGTTCGTGGTTATTCTGGTAGCAGATCGAAAAGAATTTAAAATTCGCTGGTTGCTGAATCAAAAGTACTTCTCTGCATGTTTAACTGTATTCTAACTGCTATGATTAATTCCGCACCATTTATCTCATAATCACTCAAATTCCATGAACGATCCAATTCTACCATTTGAAGACGCCGGCGAACATGCTGTAAATGAGTATTCATGATCTGAAATGAAGAAGTAACTGGTTTTCAAGCAGTTTTCAACACTTTACTCAACTTACGAGTACAGTCCACCATGCAAACACAAATGGCGCAAATGGAGAATTCTGGAATCGACCTCGGCACCATTTGATGCAGTAAAACAACTTAGCATGACCTTACCTAGTTTTCGTATCCACGATCAAATTTCTTTCCTGTTATGAAACTACGATAAGACTGCTGAAATAATGGAATAAATATATCACTGATCTCAACATAATACATCAATAATCTTTAAGCCAAGGGTGCCGTTCACAACAAAGTTATATAGGAGAATTGACTTCAAGCTTTATTTTTCCCAGATATCTGTATTACATTCATCTGATATCTGGGTTTTTTGTTAATGCGAAGACAATATTTCTATATCTCTTTATGTGCTACACAAACAAACTTTATAGCAGACTGTTCCGACTGACTCTAATGTCAGAAAGAACAACCAAACTGTAAATCCATCATACATCAAATTATGTGTAATTCATATAATAACTTATCCATGCCTGTACAATTGGTATGTTCCCGCATAAACAGGGAGAAATGTCTTATTATTAAAACAATATTTATACATGGCTATACAATTGGTGTATCTTACATAGCTAGGGAAGAAATGTACCTTATTATATTATCTTTACTCAATATGCTCATTAATCCTATGTGTAACTTATCGAATTGATGATGCTTGTAAACTGACGTCCGTCATGTAAAAAATGACAATATGTATTATTATTATTACTGTTTTGGAATAAAGCTATTATTATCTTATCTTGTCTTCATGACGCGCCGCCAAGTTTAAGATCCATAAAGTAGCACTGAATTCTCACTGGAGTTGAAAGTCTGTATCTTATTATTCATGCTAAGTAGTGCTGTTGACCTACCTACATCCCGATCCTAGCTTTTACATTTTGATCAGTTCCGTCCACCTGTATTTCAAACGATGCTTCCCAGATAGGTTGGTAAAGGTGGTGGCTTCTTTCAGATTCCTCCCATTTATATATAATAATGTATTTCATACAAATTTAAATTTAAAAAAAAATTTATTCTGATCGTTGTCTGCCGTTGTTGCTATTGTCCACGAATCTCTATCACCTCTGTCTTCTCTATGTCCACGTGAAGGAAGACCTATCTTCTCTGGATGCTTCTTCTGCCAACTTGTTGCTTTTCACTTGCATATCTTCCAGTTTGTGAGAAATCAGACATATATCATCGGCGAAGTTCAGATCCTCCAAGTTTTTGTGTGAATCCATTTGATGCCTGTTTTCTGTCTCATTATCCAATCTACTGCAATCAGGAAGATCATTGGTGATAGTAGACAGCCTTGTCGCACTGCCATCCTCACTTCGAAGGATTCCGTAAGTTTCCCGTTGTGGATTACTTGGAATGCAGCATTGTCGTATAACTGTTGGATGAGATGTGTAATTGTCGATGGGACCCCGTAGTAGCGATGTAGTTGCCAAATCACCTCTCGATCAACGTTGTCGAAGGCCTTTTCAAAGTCGATGAAGTTGAGTGAGGTGGAGAGGTGACTGCCATTCCAAGATTTGTTCAATGATGATCCGTAGAGTGGCGATTTGATCAATACATGACTTGTTTCTCCTGAATCCAGCCTGTTCCGGTAGAAGTTTTCATCCAGGGCATGTTTGATTCTCGCCAGGATGATGCGGTTTATTATTTTGCTTGGGATGGACAGGAGCATAATTCCACACCAGCTATTGCATTGACTTAAGTCTCCTTTCTTTGGTAGTTTGAATAAGTATCCTTTCTTCCAATCCTCGGGTACTTTGCCCTCTTTCCACACCTTCTCCAGTAATGGCATCTTCAAGTCCGTTGATGTTTCTCGGTCCATTTAAAATGCTTCTACTGGGATTCCATCTGGTCCTGGTGCTTTCCTAGCTTTTGGCATCTTGATTGCCTTCAGGATTTCTGTTTCCGTCGGAGAGTTGATGTCCACTGGTAGTTCTGCTTCCGTTGTTGGTATTGTTGGGTGCGTTGTAGGTGGCAGTCGAATAAGAAGTCTTTTTAAGTGTTCATTCCAGTGTTTCTTTTGCTCCACTTCTTTGGCGATTGACTTTAGATTGTCAGCCTTCATTGGCTTAATTAGTGTTGATATCTTCCCCATAGGTATCTATTTGTTTGATGGAGTGTTGCGAGTACTCCTTTGCCTGCACCGCAGCTCGTTCTACTTCACTTGATATGGCTTCATAATATTTTCTTTTGTCTTCCCTGGCACTCTTCTCTGCTCTGTTGTTCAGTGTATTGTAGCTTGCATCCAACTCCTGTTTTTGTTGCTCTTCGTTGCACTGGATGGTCTTGTGTCTCAACATCCTTCTCTCTTCTATTAGTCTCCATGTATCCGTAGTGAGCCACTGTTTGTCCCGTCTCTTCTTTCCACCTAGAACTTGCATGCAGGTTTGACTCCACACCGTTCTCAAGTTGTTCCAGTGCTTTTCGACGCCGACCTCTTCGCTAGTGTTGATTTGTGTCTCGGCTTTGTCCGTTATGCTTGCAATGAAGATGTCCTTTGTATCTTGGTCCTTCAGTTTTTGAGTTTTGAACTTGGCTTGTGGTCTATCTTCAAGTCCTGCTTCTTTGAAAGTTTTCAATTTGATTTGGATTGTCTCTTGTACGAGATAGTGGTCTGAGCCAACGTCTGCTCCTCTTCTTACTTTTGTGTCCGATAATCTGTATCTCCACTTCCCCGAGCACCAATAAGATGAAGTCGATTTGGTTCTTGGTTCACCCGTCTAGTGACACCTATGTAGCCTTGTGGATATCCTTGTGGTTGTATACGCTGCCACCAATCACTAGTTCATTGAAGGCGCAGAATTCAGCGAGAAGTTCTCCATATTCATTCATTTCTCCGAGAGCTTCTCTACCAATGATAAGTTCCCTTCCTGTGTTGTCTGGTCCAGTTTGGCGTTCATGTCTCCCACTAGTATTTTAATATCACTGACTGTAGTGTTGTCCGTTGCTGCCTGTAGTTGTCTGTAGAACTCTTCTTCCTTTTTTAGGTCTGCATTGTTTGTGGTTGCATAGCATTGTGTAACTGACACCATCTTCCTCTGGAGTTGAATCTGGCGGTCATTATCCTGGTCGAGATCGCCTTCCATCGTATGATGGCCTTCGTTTCCGTTGGTGACATCATGATAGCCACACCCTCGGTGTGCACGTGGTTGTCTTCTGAGTGAACGGAGTAGATCACTCATTCTCCCGTTGACAATTTGGTGAGTTCACTTCCATTCCATCTGCCTTCGTATATTCCTAGTACATGAATACCACATCTATTAAGTTACTTTGCAATCTGTTGCAGACGTTCCGTGTCTCCAAACATAATTTTTCTTTTGTCGCAGGGTAATTAATTATTATTAATTGATTGTACTGAAGTTTCCGTGGCAGTTTTGTTTACAGAGTGGTGTTGCTAGCCTCACGCCTGAGAAGTGGGTTGTTACATGAATTTGTAGGTTATAGAGGAGCAAATTTTTGGGTTGCCACCCTTAGAATCAGGAATTCAAGGTATAAAGTAATCGAAACAACACAAATAGAAGGAAAATAAAAAAAGTTACAACAGGAAGAGAGGCGACAGCAACAACAATAACTCTTAGCACCAGTATCATTGTCAAACACACTTGACAAAAATGACACCAAAACCATAGGCTCGCTGAATTGGGTCAACTCGGGTATGTAAATCCAACAATATATACAATTATAGATATTAGTTTGCGTTAAACAGTCACAAAATGCCGAACAAATAGTTATAGGCATTATCAGTCAACAAGATCATATACACAGATTCAGCGTTCGAAGGTAAACTAATCACAATAAATTTCACAAATCTTCTGGCGAGAAACACCAGAGAAATGAGAGATTTATGTAGCCTAGGAATCGTTGCGTACTCTGGTGAACAGTTAGGAAACTGTTATCACCATGACGTTTCTCAGGATTTAATTCAGACTTCATTGCTCCACTGATCAGATTTCACCTAGAAGGTGGTGGCAATAATTCCTTGTGTGTGGTGCTCGCGGATGATTCCAGGCTCTACTGAGCTTCATGTAAATGTGGTGATACAGTGAAACTGAGATAACTGCTTAGCAGTTACTTGACCTCGTTGGGAGACGCTCATCCTTCCCAAATTGTGGCTCACTAGCCGTCCCTGTAGCTGACTAAATTCTTGCCGAAATTCGTAACCAGCGCTCATCATTTCAAGGATCAAAACGTTATCTATATGTTTGCTGAGCCGCAGCAGTCACCCTCTGTGCAATTGGTATCACTTCTTACTTACTAAAGCTTTGAGTTTACTGTCGGGCCACTAAACATTTTCCTGTTGTTTACTTGCACTGGACCAAAGTGGTAGACCCAATCGACAAGTATCAGATAGGACGAAACACATGTACAATGTGCCTACCATAGCGTGCCATATGGTTTCAAAGTGAGACGGAAGATATCATCTATTCTTGCGACCAACATATTGACTAAGACTGAATATTTAGAGGGAGAGCCATGGACGATCTAGGGATTCAGAGAACAATATCTAATGAGATATTAATAGAATAAATGTATATAATAGAGTAATTGTACACAATTGTCACACAAACCGGTATGATTACTTAATTAACTCATTTATCGTCGATTACTGTACACCATGAGCCGGAAGTAACTGTAATCCACGAACTTCTCAAAGTACTGTGGAGAGTTTACAGATATTATGGTGGAGGTGGGAAAATATCCAAGCAGACACACATAAATTCATGTTTGTATTTGTTTTCCTTCTTTTATTCACGTATAAACGAGCTTGGACGTTTAGTCCACAACAGTTATCGCCTCGTGGCAATTTAGGACTTGCGAAAATGACAATGGCCAGATTTCCTATTTGGTCCATAAAGTCATGAAATATTGGCGTAATCTGGCACATTAGGAGGGCTAATAAGGACTTGGATAGCTGTTATCATGATATTTCGAAGCTGAGAGCTGTTTTAATACACCGAAAGGTTGTCTGGTTGAAGGTCGTGACACTTTTAAGAAGAATGGTTTCGTCTGAAGAAGCGGTTGTTGGAGTTGCACACCTCACAAAAACATCGGAGTCACCTTGGGTTGAGAAATATAGACCAATTGAATTGAAGGATATAGTGGGGAATGAGAACACAATCTGTCGTTTATCCGTCTTTGCTCGAGAGGGAAACTTACCAAATATTATAATAGCTGTAATTCAGTAATCTTGATATTAACATTTTATTAGGGTCCTCCGGGTTGTGGAAAGACAACAAGTATCCTGTGTTTGGCTCGAACACTTCTGAAGGATGCTTATAGAGATGCAGTTCTGGAATTAAACGCATCGAACGATAGAGGAATCGAGGTGGTTAGGACCAAAATCAAGATGTTCGCCCAAAAGAAGGTGACGCTTCCTGAAGGTAGACAAAAGATAATTATCCTCGATGAAGCTGACAGGTGTGTTTGCCTGTTTCAATAAGAATTATTGCGACTGCTAGCTTGATTTCACACCAAGGAACTTAAGTGATATGATTAATGACATTTTGTGTTACAACCGTGAGATGCTATTAACGTAATGGTATAGACCTATGCTTTTTACCTGTACCCAGGAGGATTACTATCGCATAGCGTTTGCATAGGTAGTTGAGGTGAATTATGTTCCATATGTTGAACTAAGTTACTTGTTAAGAATGTTTTGATAACATAATGGGTTCTATTTTAATCGTTTAAATATGGCAGTCTTTAAGGTGACTTAACAAGTAGTTTTTTACTTCTGGAAGTAATTACAAAACGTTTTCATCAGCGGCTGATAACAATGGGATTCGTCACTTTAATTTCAGTAGCCACTGAGTGGAACGATGGTTTTCCTCGATTTAGAGTACGTACTTGTGCAGTGTTGGTTTAAAAGCTCTGTTCTCCGTAGTCAAAGCTGTCTTTTGGTATTTGGAGCCTGGTTCTTAAAGTTGATCTTTCATAACTTCTCATGGCTGAATCAACCAGCTGAGAATCTACAGAGGGTTTTCGTTCGAGGTGGTGACAAACAGTGGTGTCCGTCAGGGAAGCCCTGCTCACTGTCCCTATCTCTGTTTGATTTCATCATTGCTGTACTAATGAACTTAACCCTGACTCACTTCAGCTACTCAGGGATGGACTTGTTACCAAAGAATGTGATCTCATTGACTTGGAATATGCCTGCGGTTGATATGGTCCTGCTAGTTGAAGACGCTGACAGAATGCAGTCTTCTGAGCATCTCAAGCAGCAGTCTTCGAATGTTTGGCATGTGATTTTCTGCCTCTGCTGAATGTAAGATGATGCTACAGTATTGGACTACATCAGCTACTTGGAGCTTGAAGATAGAGAGTGAAGTGAATCTGACCGTAGAAACGTTTACTTACAGTGGAGTTTTTTTCGTTTCTACACTAACCGAAGGCACTACAGATTGAGATATCTGCACCGGAGTATTTCGTATCTGTCCAGTCACCAACTAGCCTATGTTTTTGACTTTAGGGAGTTAGACACAAATCAGATGTTTTGAACTTTTCTGTTTCCTAGTTTTTTCATTTGGCTTTTATGAAGTCTGCAGCTTGAATTAATGCACAAATGTTGGAATTTGTGTGTCTATCCTCCCATATTTCATGAAAGTGTAGATTGTCTAGACCTAGGTCAACCAGTTGTTTCAATTTAAATTGATAATAAGCAAAGCTGACTCAATAGAAGCTAGGCGAAGATTTTAAGCTTGAATGTTAGGATGGACAAGTGAAACGGTTACCACTGGTTGTCATTATTGCATATGACAACTTTTTTGAAGACATCACGGGGCTATTTCAATTCAGACAATGGAGTTAGAAATATTTTATCACTCCTTCAAAGTCTTTTCCGTGGTCCTGATTGCTTCTACATCTACTTCTCAGTGAATTGCTCTCTTAAAGTCATGGGACTCATTACATGTGTAGAATTCAGTTGTCTCTTTTGAGGGGTACTGATCAACATGATTTCAATCAACTTGATTCACTCCAGTTTGAAGTGTTATTTCCTCATAACTTTTGTTACCTATATTAAGTAATGGTTGTGTTATGAACGGATTATCATTGTGTCACTTTAGTTTGCTGTTTAATGGTCCACTTAGTTTTTTGATGGTGAAAGTGTGATTTCAACTTTGAAATATTTTTCTGTTAAGGTGAAGTGATTGGAAAATTAATATCCCTCCTCACATTTATTTTCTTCCCAAAAGTTTTTTCTCAATAATACTTGTTTAACTTTTGCTTACTGTTTATTGAGAAGTGAGAATGTCGGTGACGCATAATCATCAATTTTTCTGATTCATGCCTGACGTGGTATTTCCAAAATAATCCAACTCAAGGTGGTTATAGTCTTTGTTAAATTTGGCCTACTTTTACTTCCTGAAGCTCCAAGCTTTTTGTAGTAATGTTTTTCAAAATAAAGCATCTTGAAAATGTATGATATACCAGTCCATATACAAGTTACTGCGTTTTGTCTTGTCGATTATAAAGCTTAGATGTTTGTGTATAGTTGTTGTCCATACACATCCTACTATACTGACCGTGTGAGTGACTTGTCAAAATTATCGACTAAAACTGCTTACCTTTATCTGTAAGCATTTTAAAAGTCCCCAGGTTCCATAGGTTAAAGAAGTGCATTTTAGAAAAGATAGAGCCTTATCTTCATTGGCTTGTGTGGTTTTTTAATATTTCTCCTCATTCTGTACCTCAGAAATATTGCTTTAATGCTTTGTCGTCGTTTATTCTCACATTCCGTCCTTAAGTATGACTGAGGGTGCTCAACAGGCTCTTCGACGAATTATGGAGTTATATTCGCGGACAACCCGTTTCGCGTTGGCTTGTAACGATTCATCTAAGCTCATTGAGCCGATACAATCAAGATGTGCTGTTCTGCGTTATGCTCGTTTAACGTCACCTCAAATTATGGCTCGCTTGCTAGAAGTTTCACGAGCTGAAGGAGTCTCCTACACAGAGGAAGGTTTAGAAGCTATCGTATTTACGGCGGATGGTGATATGAGACAGGTAAAATATATTTTGTTTTTAGGTTACTAGTGAATACTGTAAAATATCCTCGGCAATCTAACCAGCTGTTTATAAGCATACATATTTTACCTGCTTGGTTTCAATTGTTCACTGTTTTAGGACTTTTTGGTGTTTCATGCAAATCTGTTAAGGATATCTGTTTATAATTGTAGAACGCTTAATATATCGTTTCCAAACGGGGTCATTTAGGCCATTCTACTTTGAATTTTTTATACTGTGTATGGAAAATTGCATTTGTAAAACATTTAGTTTTTCCGTGTGAAGAAAATCAACTGACAGGAGTTTAGTTAACACAAATGTCCACTGAACAGGTGTCACATACAAATATGAATGAGTCTTCCCTGCCTTTCTATTAGGAGTCTATAATTTAATGTTTTTGACTAACTATTTTTACTTACTATGAAGAATCTGCTAACGATTAGCAACAAAAATTCATGTGCACGAATAGAACTTGTACACTGCCATAGAGCATAATTCCACTAAGGAGAAACTATCTGATTAAGTTCCACACTATTATACAGTAACGTTTCGAGCACAATTTAGTGCTCATAATCCTATCATGCTGATGTATTTAGTACTACTAACATTTGTTAGTAGACTTATTTCACCACTCTACTCTACAATACAGTTAAGTTCAAATGTTGCCAGTAGTAAAATGTAAAAGATGCCAGTTTTTTTAAGTGACTGTTTACTTTGTCGGATAATAGTCATCTTGATTAATCACTCATATTTACAAAGGAAAAACTCAGTAATAAAGATTACCTACTGGTTTTTCCGTAAATTTTGTATCGCGCATTCGGTTTGTTTGGAATGCACGTATATAACTGAGGAATTCGCTTCCGGTTTGGGCTTTAAATTTAAATAGCTTGTTTTTATTAAACTTGTTTCTGTTATCACTAAATATAAAATGTGAAAATGTTTATCTTCATCAACAGGCCTTAAACAATTTACAGTCAACTTATCAAGGTTTTGGAATGGTTAGCAGTGATAATGTCTTCAAGGTGAGATTTGATTGTGTCTTTATATATATTCAGTACAAAATGTTGGTTTTGATCGTGTACATCGAATATCATTTTTCGGGGTAGAGATGTGTATTCTTAGAAGGTGATCATCATCATCCTCCTGTATTTAGTTTAGTGTCGAGTTTGAGGCAAGTTCTTAAAATATGATTTGTTGGTAATTATTTTTTGCAATATACCGAGAATCTCTAGATTTATTTGGCATCTTTATGATTCTAGTTTGGAATTCTGTGCCCAATCTGTAAGCCATTGTGATCACACTGAGCAACTCTCTATTAAATTTTACTACCGTCTATGTAATAGTTGACTGCCAATTTCTCCTTTTTCAAAAGTCATTACAACGGATATGGAATCCTAGGATTCTCATATCCAAAATTAAGGTACATCTATTCACTTGACCATGTGATATTTTAAGAGTTCTGATAGTTTTTCAACTGTGTTTTACTTGTAGTACTACTTTACAAATGGAATTTATTGATTGTTTGTGTGCTGAATGGTTACAAAAAATGCACTAAAACATGTGTGATACACTGCTGGCCATTTTCAATTTCTCCTTACACATTCATTGACTAGAGTATGTTTAAAGATATATGGTTTATCAGAAAGTGTCAGTTTTGTTTTAAAACATTGACTACACAGTATGCTGTCGTGCCGGAATGGCAACATTAATACTCAAATCAAATTTCTACGCTGAATAGTGAAAACCACTGTAATGTAGCTCGTAGTCTGTGAGTGCATATTTACTGACAAGCCACAGTTTTCTTACCCCAAAAACTAGAGTTATGATTCACCAACTTAACCACACTCAATAGAATTCTATGCTGATTAATAGACATAGGGAAGGGAGAGGGCTCTCGAGTGGTTGCGCCACTGGATGATCCTGCATGCCGGTCTCGGTTCGCAAGAGACAGAGATGGGTGTGTTTTGGTTCTCCTGAAAACCAATACCCAGTCAATGAGTGTATTATTGTGTGAATATGTGCGTCGGTGGCACAGTGGTTAGGACTATCGCCGACCATGCACATATTCCGAGGTTCAATCCCCTGCCGACGCACACCTGATATCTACAGTTGGCCTGCGAAATTTGGGCTACCGATATCCATGCTGAAAATTTCATACTTGTACCAAAAATACAGTGTGGAATCAAGCTGTAAATAAAAAATAAAAAAATAAAATAAAAATAATTGTTGTAGTGTTCACTTCTGACCTGCAGAAAGGGAGAAATATGAATAATACTTAAGTTTCATGTCAAATGAGTTTTATTGATATTAGGTGGTTGGAGGCGATTGGCAGGAAGACTTGAACCTAGGTTTCGTGCTAGTTGACTGATAGAATTCAGTCTGCACCAAACAAAGGACTAGACACATCACACTAGTTACTGACTAGCGTCCATTCAAGTCAGTTGACGGTGTGGAATCAAGCTGTAATCAAAAATAAAAAAATAGTTACTTCAAGATTGGATATCAAAAAGCAGTTCTATTTTGAAAATCTATATGTGCATACGTATATCTTGAATATGCTGTCTGTCTGGATTCAACATAGAACTTGGCACCTAAGTGCACCAGTTCGAGTTGCCACGTTCCACCAAATAGCACACAAAGGTAGACAAGAAGATGAGTGAAGAGAATCAATAGAGTTTGACAGGTATAAGAGTGAAACAGAATGGGTAATGGTAGAAAAGAATATGAAAGATTACAGAGACTGAATACATCTGCGCTGGCCATTGACAACGATGAGTTTGAGCCATGTCACCTATTGTCTCCAGCCATTGATTCCTAGAGTCCCGAGGGCCCCAACCCGGGAGTCTGCATCTCCCTACCTGACTCAGTTTAACTGTCAAGGATTTCATGGATTGATGAGGCCATGTTTTTGTTTGGCCACCACTTAATCTTTTCCAACCTGCACCTATATCAGGTGCAGGTTGGAATATATATGTACTGAATATACTGTTTCTGCTTCTAACATCTCTAAGCGAAGACATCACTTATTTGCTTATTTATGTAGTAATTCTGACCTCCCAACAGTGGCTCATTGAATGAGACACACTTGTCTCAACCAATGGAACATAGAGTCAGACCTCATACATCTACCTCAGGAATGTTCCTCAGCAATCACTTGCATTGCCATGCATGAAGGCTAATGACACTACCTGGTCACCCAAATCTCGATAGCTGGACCGTGGTTTGAACCTGTACTGCGGTGGTCGGAAGTGGCTAGATCAATGAGTCACTTCTATCTTGGTTTGTGCAGACAAGTGGTATAGTCTGACCTAACACAATATATGTGGTTGTTGAATATCGGCAATGAATTAATCAATTATTCTGCCAATAAATATAGTATTACAGTATTCAAATTTATAACAGCTATATTTCTGTTGTAGGTATGTGATGAACCACATCCAATGCTGATTAAACAGTTACTAGACCATTGTACTAAGGGTGAATTGTCTGCTGCTCATAAGATTCTACGTCATTTATGGACATTGGGTTATTCAGCTGAAGACATTATCACTATCACTTTCCGTGTCTTAAAAAATCATCCAATGGAAGAATACTTAAAATTAGGATTTGTAAAGGTGAGTTATTTTCATTGTTTTTGTTAACATTTTGTAAAGTCATTTGTGTCTTTGAAAAATAAATTAGGTTGATACGTCACTTATAAACCATGTCAACAACCATGTACATGTTTTACACTCCTGTATTTTATTAGTGGAACATAGGGCTTCAGCAGCGCATCTCCATTTCATCCTGTTCTCCGCAGTCGCCTTTGGCTAGCTCTACGATTGCTCATAATCTCTCATCTCCTCGCACGATCTCTATTTTATCTTTTAACCGACGCTTAACTTGTTCCTCATTCGGGCTTCTCTCATGGGCTTGCCTGGCACATGATGTTACTCAACGGTCTCCTCAGCGTGTATCCAATCCACTCACCTTCACTCCCTTCTGCATATTTGTTAAGCAATAGATTCTTGGTTGGTTCGTTGCCTTCCAGAGCTCCTTGTTGTTAATCCTTTCTGGCATTTTAGCGATTTGCTCTTCAGTATCGAGCGAAAGTAACTAGGTGTTGATGGAAGTTTGGTGACGCACCACGTCTTTGAACCACAAAGAAGAACTGGCTTGACATTGGTGTTGAAAATCTGAATCTTGCACTTTATACTGACTGCAGCAGGTTTCTACATTGGTTTCAGAGTAGTGAAGGTCTGTCTTGCTTTTCCCATGCTGTCTTTGACATCCGCATCTGTGCCATCTTCCGTTAGTTGGAACGATACTGTCTAGATCCATGGAAGAAGTGCCCTCATTTCTACTGTTTTTGTTAGTTAGACATCTTCATTAAGTAATTAACCATCCTTATTGTGTATAGATTGCTGGTGGTGCTATTATCTAACTATAAAAAATAAAGATGGGAAGTCGATGAAATCCTGAACAGACTGGTTGGGAAAATCCGATAGTTTAGTCGGTAAGCTGTAATATTGAACAAGTCTCCATTGTATACAATGATCAGTTGAGAAACTAATAAAGGGCAGAAATCTCTAGGTATCTGTTCTTCTTCGGTTACTTTCTACGGAAATTACCTCTTAATGCATTTTAAAATCAAATCACGCGGACCAACAGACTGTGGACTTTCATCAACAGCTGTCTTCATAACATGCTGAAGACCAGGTGGCCAGAAGGAATTATCAACAAGAGACTCTATCAACGAATCAATCAATAACTTATTGCCCACCAAATGTGCAAAAGAAAATGTAGATGGATTGGGCACATACTGAAGACATCGTTGAGTTATGTCGCCCGCCATGCCCTCTGGTGAATCCTGTGTGAAAAACGAGTTGAGATGTGATCCGAAGGTAACGTCGAGGAGATCGTGTGAGAAGATGAAAGCTGATGGGCAATTGCGGAACCGACTAAGGAGTAATACAAAGAACACAGTGAAATGGAGATATGTTATTGAAGGCATATGTTCCACTCGAAACCCATAGGAATAATAATGAATACATAATGATACCACATAACTGGTGAATTTATCCAGGTATAGTTGTTCAGTAAAGTGAGTGACTAGATCACGAATGCCTTTTTCACTTTGAAACACTAACGTTAAAAGTAAGCAACGCGTAATAACTGGAAACAAGAAAACCAGTAGATCATGTGTGTTGGTGGCACATTGGTAGGATGTTCACCAATCACGCATGTGTTCCGGAGTTCGATCCCCGGCCACCTTACTTTACTTTACTTCGGCTATCTCCTACGGGAGGATGAGCCGGCTTCATGAACATCTCGAATCATCGCTGCCCAGGCGCGGCGATCTGATGCAAGGTTTTGCGACAGGGTTATCCAATTCTTGTTCCACAGATGGAGTCCGTAAACGGTTTGTGGCCCCAGACACTCCATATCAGCCTTGACTGTACCAAGCCATGTTTTCAGCTGTCCACCCCTGCGACATCGCCAAGATGGAAATGGCGAGGGATTTAGAACTGATTTGACTAGATCGTCATCTGGTCGGCGCAGAACATGGCCAAACCACCGAAGGCGACGTTGTTGAACCAGTACTGGAATTTGGTTGATGTTGTAGAGAGTTCATGAAGTTTCATGGGAATTAGGTACGAGTGATGTCCCCAGCATCGCTCGGCCTTTTGTTTGAGAGTGCATCTCTAGCCTTTACACAACCAAGTGTGACCTACAAGGCAGTAGGAGTGGAGTAGGGAGTCCACTATCCATTGGCAGCCGGTGACCGGAGTCCGGTTCATTCGCCTTTTTGAATGGGGCCAGACATCCAGGGCATCCAATAAGCCCTTTGTCCATACGTCTGCCGGTGAGCTTCATACGCCAGTCGTTGGAGGTATGGAATCAGGGTTTAGCCATCTCCCCTAGACTGTCATCCAATGGACAGTCAACCCGGTGAAGAGCGCCGGGCATCCGCTTTTGCCCTCTCACTTCGGTGAAAAACACCTCTGCCACGTGAAGGCAGTGAGGACTTCCTCAGGAGAGGCTATGTAAGACGCCCGGTCATATGGGAGCATTTCAAGAGGTGTACGGAAGGGTGGCCAACCCCCAGCGCAAGGCACCCACCCCCGACCATCCTGAGGCTTTGGAGACATCCCCAGCCACCGACACACTCCTTTACCTCGCTAAGTCAGTAATAAGACTGGTAAAGAGGGAAAGTTGGGAATGAGGCTAGCAACCCCATCACGTAAAAAATTAAACACCACTGCTACCGAAACTTCAAGCCTCTAGCTTGAAGCCCTATGTTTCACTGGGAACGTACAGGAATAAAATAAAATAATAATAAGTACGCTGAACTCTTAAAATAACTAATTCACAAATGAAATTCCTAGTTGCGTAAGAAGTGGTGGGTTAGATACTGGGCATCTATAGAACTGATACATTCCATCCCACTCATAATTCGTAAAGGTAGGTTTAGTTTAGTATTTATATAATCGGACAACAGCCTGAACAGTCAGTAGATTTAAATAATGAAATCAAACTAATAGTGAGTCAGTCAATAACCACCCAGATCAATTTACTCAAAATGCATGAAGACCCATAAGAAAAATTTGTAGTAATATATATATATATATATATGTATTATAAGGAATTCAAAGCCTTGATGGTATTGGCATATAAAAAAGGAACACCAGAAGCCCTATGTGGGATTCTTAATAAGATTGGCAATTTAAACAAACTTAGAGAAAAGCTTGATCGGTTTAAAGACCCGATAGATTTAGAAAAAAGGTATATAATTTATCATATGCCATGTAATTAATTACTGTGAGGTCAGTTACATAGGTCAGTCATACTAGTAGATCAGGGTCAGTTAGGTTATCGAAAGACAACCTAAAATGACTGGCCCTGATAAGTTCAATAACCTGGAAAAAATCTCGACCCTTGAAATGCATTCATATGCATATAATCACACAATAGGGTGGGACAAGGTGACAGTATTAAAGACTAATGCAGTTAGGTGCTCAGAGAGAGAGAGAGAAAGAGGGACTAGTCACCAAATCTTTTCTCATTGAAACAACACCAGACATGTGTAATAAAGATGATGCAACCCCTATACTGAATATATGGAAAATCTCAACAACAAGGGGAAGATGAGAAATTATAATGCAAACTATGAAACTATTAGAAATCCGAAAGCAGCATACTCCAGAGCAAATAAGTCAAATGTACACACAAATACAAGAACCGTATGCAACTTATCAGATAGAGAACTTAATGTACATGAAACAGCATTACTTGAAAAAGGACTAAACTTTAACATAACTCGAAAACCACTGACAGCAATAGAATTAGCGCCCATCATGGAACCTATATTAACTCTTTTACCTGATGATGAAGCTAATGAGTTACGTCAGAAGGTTGGATGTATCCTATCGAATCAAAAGCAGGTCACCTCGAATTTATCGAAGAACGAACGTCATGCTTTACAAACATTAAGATCAGACAAATCTATTGTTATTACTAAAGCTGACAAAGGCAATATCACCGTAATTCTTAATAAAGACGACTACGACAAGAAAGCTTTAGAACATATCGAAACAGGGCCATACACATTAGTACCAGTAAACAAAATGTCTAGTACTATGAACAAAGTAAAAGCCCAAGTATGCAATATACTTAGAGAATTGAAACCAAAACTGGGGAATTCAGTTTGGTTCTCAATAGCTCCCAAGACAAACACGGCCGCGAGATTTTATGGAAGGCCAAAATTACATAAAATAAACGTTCCTTTAAGACCAATAATCGATTTTACCAATTCAGTAACATATACTTTATCAAAATACATATCACGAATACTGAAACCACTTCAATACAATATTCCTTCGAACATCAAAAATATTGATGAATTTAAAAAGAAAGTAATGGATATAATTATTGAAGAAGACGAGATTATGGCAAGTTTTGATGTGGTTTCTTTATTTACTAGTATTCCTATATGTGAGTCACTGGATATTATGAAATATGAACTTGAAAACAATCAAGAAGTATTAAGTAAATCTTTATTATCAATAGATGAGGTTATAAAATGTTTAAAACTTTGTTTGGAATCAACATATTTTACATTTAAAGATAAACTATACTGTCAAACAAATGGAGTTGCAATGGGTTCACCGGCATCTCCAATTGTAGCAAACTTATATATGAAAGCCTTAGAAAAGAAAGCATTGACAAGTCTTAGCTGTCATCCTAGAATATGGTACAGATACGTAGATGACACATTTATTGTCATAAAGAAAGCTGAAAAAGAAGACTTTTTAACAGAAATTAACTTAATCTCAGAATATATTGAGTTTACTAATGAAATAGAATCGGCGGAGGGAACTCTAAACTTTCTTGATTGTCTTGTAAAAAGACAAACTGACGAGAAACTGAAGTTTACCATATACAGAAAGCCGACACATTCCAATAAGTATTTGAATTTCCAATCAGATCATCCAATAGGAATGAAAGTCTCAGTAGCTTTAAATCTCTTTAACAGAGCTAGAAACATTATAACTGATAATGACGATATGGAGAACGAGATAACCAATATAAAACAGATTTTGATTGGAAATGGTTATCCTGAAAAGCTACTAGATAATATCATCAATAGAAAGGAGCATAGAGAAAAACAAAAAGTTGAAAAATCCTGGCTATCGACGATAGCCATTCCATATCGAAAAGACACAGCTGAACAACTTCAAAGACTATTTGCTGCATATAATATTAAAGTCTATGTCAAACCTTCTAATTCTCTAGAGAAAGCTTTAGTGCATGTTAAAGATATAGTTCCCAAAATGTCACAAAGTAATTGTGTCTACAAGATAAAGTGTTCAGAATGTGAGGCATGCTATATAGGGGAGAGCAGTAGGCAGGTGAAAGTCAGAGTGAATGAACATAGACTTTGCACGAAACGTCCACCTAGAAATGAAGTAGAATTAAAAAGTCTAGAAAAAAGATCGGCTATAGCAATACATGCGATAGACAGCGGACATAAGATTGATTTTGACAATGTCGAAATTCTTGGAAGAGGATTTCATTCACATAAAGAAAGATTGACTTCAGAAGCCTTGCACATTTTAACCACATCAAATGCAGTGAATAGGAAGGAAGGTATAGACTTATCACCTATATGGCAAACTATGATAGAGAAGATTTGTAGCTCAGGTGGATAATTTTGATGTGGTTTTGTTCTCTGAGCTGGATAGTTAGTTTGCGAAGCTTTCATCACCTTACTGGGTGACATCTTCAGCGCATACTTCAAATTGAAGTGAGCTTTTAGGTTTCTCCACGAGTTTATTAATCATTCCTCCTGGTGACCTTGGACGTGATTGGTTGTTTATGTATGTTTTCACACCTTCTAGGTTACTTGTGTTGGAACTGATTGTTTCTGTGACTTGAACTTTGGCCAATCGTGTGTGAAGTTTCTTTCTTATTGGTTGATAAATTTTGTCTATCTCGATGTGTCTATTGATTGATGATTCACTGGAATGCCAAGCTTCTAAAAATTCTCTAGCATTCTTGTTATTTCCTTTGTCTAATATTTGAACGTTGTCCCAGTCGAATTGATGTCCGTGGTTGTCTGTGTGTAGTGAAATGAGGGAGTGTATATCATGTCTTTTGACGGCTAGCTTATGTTCGTGGATACGAAGACGAAGGGGACGTCCACTTTGGCCAATGTAGTGTTTTTCGCAGTTGTTACAGTTTATTTTGTAGATGATGTTGGTTTTGTCTTCTTTTGCTGTTGAGTCTTTTGGTTGACATAGAATTGAGTGCAGCGACTTTGTTGGTTTGTGTACGACGTCAATTCCTAAAGGTTTGAAGAGTCTTTTAGTGATTTCTGAGATATCCTTTATATATGGTAAGGCGATTTTCTTTTGGATATCCAAAAGAATGGATATCCCCGGAATTTCATCAAGAGACATATACCCCCAAGCCAACCTACCAAAACAAAAGCCACCAAGGAAAACACAAAGAAAATCGCCTTACCATATATAAAGGATATCTCAGAAATCACTAAAAGACTCTTCAAACCTTTAGGAATTGACGTCGTACACAAACCAACAAAGTCGCTGCACTCAATTCTATGTCAACCAAAAGACTCAACAGCAAAAGAAGACAAAACCAACATCATCTACAAAATAAACTGTAACAACTGCGAAAAACACTACATTGGCCAAAGTGGACGTCCCCTTCGTCTTCGTATCCACGATCATAAGCTAGCCGTCAAAAGACATGATATACACTCCCTCATTTCACTACACACAGACAACCACGGACATCAATTCGACTGGGACAACGTTCAAATATTAGACAAAGGAAATAACAAGAATGCTAGAGAATTTTTAGAAGCTTGGCATTCCAGTGAATCATCAATCAATAGACACATCGAGATAGACAAAATTTATCAACCAATAAGAAAGAAACTTCACACACGATTGGCCAAAGTTCAAGTCACAGAAACAATCAGTTCCAACACAAGTAACCTAGAAGGTGTGAAAACATACATAAACAACCAATCACGTCCAAGGTCACCAGGAGGAATGATTAATAAACTCGTGGAGAAACCTAAAAGCTCACTTCAATTTGAAGTATGCGCTGAAGATGTCACCCAGTAAGGTGATGAAAGCTTCGCAAACTAACTATCCAGCTCAGAGAACAAAACCACATCAAAAATATGGCAAACTCTTATGAAGCAAGACAAATGAAAATGATGATTAATTATAATCCGAATAAATCTGCTGAAGAAGCTGTGGCTGACACGGCGAAACGTTCAGAAAAATCTTGTTTTGATTTTCTTAACACGCTGGGATTAATTTAAATAATTTATAATGAATCAATCTGACTCGGCGCTCAAATTATTCCAGGAAGTTCGTAACACCTACGGTCTGGAAACTTATAAGCAAACTATGAAACTTTGTGACGTGATTATTGGTAATGAATTACGCTCAAAATTGTCATACAGTTATTAATGCTGTATCACTGAGTGTTATATCAAAATAAACTTATCTAATATGAAATTGATTCATAATAGAATTTGTTTAACTCTCCTATGTTGTTTTGTTTTTCCTTTCCTATAGGAAGTTGGTCTTACTCACCTACGTATATCTGAAGGATTGGGTACATATCTTCAGTTAGCAGGTCTACTTGCTCGTCTTTGTAAAGTAGTGCTGCCTAAATGAACTTGAATATACACATGTTCACAGTGGAACATTTGCTGGGCATGCTTTTGTACAGACACTTAAGATTTTTATGTCTCTATTTCTAAGTGTTATGACATTTCAGATTTTGTTTAACAACACGCAATTAAATATACAAAATTTCTTACCTATTGAGTTAACCGCTTTTTACAAATCAGTATGCGGTGCAATAAGTTTTGGATGTCATGTATATATTTTTTGGTAAATGTGTGAATGTCATCTTTAAAAGATTGTTCAGAGATGATTTACGCCAGTTTCAATGATCCGTTGGTGGTTGGAGAATAGTCACCCATCGCTTTTATGCATATATCCAGATGACTCCTTATGTATTTGAAACCAGATTTTCATGTGGACATGTTTTCTGTATATCTGATTTACCTTACGGACGGTCGCTCAGCTTTCAGTCGGTAGGTCGTTTATCTGGATCCAATTGCATCCTGACTGACAACTGCTACCTTGACGTGATGTTTAGGCTTCGATTTCGCAATGAACCGACGGCTTACAATATCCGGGACGAATATTTCTGCAGATCGTGTAGATAATGATTAGACTAGAACGCAGCTACCATCATAGTGTAAGTCACTCACATTATGTGCTGGAGGGATGGTCTGCTATTGAGCAGGAATGTAACGGCCGTAAGATGTTTCCCTCAGATGACCATCCAAGGGGAGCGGAAGGTCGACTGCGAGAATTTTATATTCCGACTTATATTGTGAGTGAGTCATTCATACTGACACGACTCCAAAAAACCACTTCAAACTCCTCATGTTTGGCGGACCACAATCAGTCTTCCCTTGGTCTCTGTGGTGACTGAACAATAACACTCCTTATTTTTCGCATATTTCAAGAAGAAACCAACTTTCTCGGTATGGACATGTTGGAGGTAATAACCTCCTTCCATAAACACACACGCTTTTGCTGGTCATTACTCCGATGTTCCTGCTTTTCTCCCATTGTTAATGCTATTCCACAGGTATCTCTCTCACATCCTCTTAACTCTGAGACTGTTCATGCCGATCACAGCCAGAAAAACACTTTTGATAGTCTGTAAAAACCCACTCTACCAACTTCATATTGGAGTATTCAGTGTCAGGGCCATTCATCAAATCGGACAATAGAATTTTTTAGCCAATAAATCTGGCATCTTGAGCTAGACGTGCCTACGCGTACAACCATTTGTTGGTAATTTTCTCTCAATAATATCAAACAGTTTGCTTGTTAAACTATTTTTTTTTGTATAGCTGTTATAAAATACTAAATATGAAATATAATTTAATATAACTCTAATTCCCATATTGATTTTTGAAAATACTAAAGAATTGATTAATACAAGTAATAAACAAATTAATAGAAGTAAAATCCACTCCAATTATGAGATATGAACGAACGAATTAGAAGAATAACACATGTGCGGTATATTATGTTCAAAATGTAAAGTAATTTACAGCAAATGTTTGTTTTTTATTGAACAACTTGAAAAAGCTGTAAGCAGATCAATAATGATATTATATTAGTAGTAGTAGTAGGTAGTTGTGTTTCAAGGTGAACGTTCAATTGTCGCTATACATACATATGAAGAGGTAAACTTTTATCGCATTATGAGTTTTTTCAAAAGTAGCAAAGAAAAAAGATAATATTGGGTCACATGATTCCTAAACAATCCCTGGAGTATGATGACTAGCAGTCGAGTCCAGGATATACATTTCGTCTCGCTTGAGACTCGTCACTAGACGTACCTGCGCATTCCCAGTAAGTGATACTCCCACTGAAACTTGAACCCGGAACCCAACTGGCATGCTATTTTGTGGATGGCGACTAGCGATTGAAACAATGGGTGCTGTGTTCGAGTTTCAGCGGGGACAACATCACTCACTGGGGATGCACGTACACCTACCTAGCCGGCAACTCCCAAATAGGACGAAATGTGCATCCTGGATTCTACTGCTCGCTGTCACCACCCACCAAATAATAACGTGTTGCTGATCACACTTTTCCGAAGCATCTGTACCACGAGCTGACATGTCAAAAGACACCGGCCCAATGTATTCAATCAACGATAACTACAAAATTTACACGTTACATAATGCTAATTTTTACAAAATGTTTGTTTGTAAGTTTATTTTCTATTTTTTAAGACCTGAGTTCCTTCGACTGATGAATTCTGTTCGCACTGGGCAATTGACCTTCTATCTATCAAGCTATACCGGGAGTAATCCTATAATATTTGGTGCAGGTGTACGGTGGTATATTCCAGTACTGTCTTAGCAGAGTTAAAGAGGGGCCTAGAGGAACCCTTCACTAATTAAAAAAGTAACTATCAACTTCTTCCGAATCTCTGGCATATTCGTAAGTTTTTTTACGAGTTGATCACGGATTGATATAAGTTAGAGAACCATTGAAAGCCATCAGCGAGTACTGGACAGCTGTTTCCTCAGCCTAGTTTGGGAATCATCGGCAGTACGCACCCACTGGGGTTCGAACCCAGGACCTTCTGATTACAAGGCAAGCTCGTATAACATTCAGTCATTGGGACCCGACTCAGTGGCCAGTGCATGAATTCTAACTTCTACCAATTCGTGATCTAGCGTGACCCAACCATTGTCTTGTCATCGGTGGGACATCCATCCTTACACGTGACTGGATGGGAATTATCAAATGTAGTTTGAAACCAGAAACATGATTTTGATAGTAATGTCCAGAGACAAATCATTACACATTAATACAGCTGCGCATTCCGCGTACCAATTGTGACTGAGAACTCTTTTCATGTTACTATTCTTCCTCCCGCACATTTCTACCCATCTTAGTTCATTCTTATCTCTCTTGTCTCCATCTTTATGTGTTACATGGAATGTGGTAATTTGAACTGCTTCACTTCTGTGCAAATTTCTATGTTGAAAATCAACTAGTCAGAATGCGAAGTCACGAATCACTATAATAAATTTTCACTAAACAAGTTGACAAAGCTTTACTCTGAGGATATAATCATTTTACAAGTCACAATTAACTTATACAACTAAGATTTGATCAGTATATTATTATCGGTATATTTCCAGTCGTATTCCAAATGCTAATTAAATCAGTAATATGCCCAGTATATCGATTTCCTATAGGGTCATTTATGTGTCCACCTAGTTACACAGATATCATTCAACATTGGGATTTTCGGTTTATTATTATCATCATCATTGAAACCACTTTTATTGAAAGTGAGAGTCTAGATTGTTTCTAGGCGGTCACTTAACACACTCATATGATCTCTTGTGGAACTATTCAAACACACAGGAATGATTTGCTCATGATATACATAACGAAACAGAAAATGTATTGACATAACTTAAAAGGGAAACATTATACACTAGCTTTCTTGAATATGCAGTGGTTATACAAAGACAGAATCAAGAAGTGTGAATAGTTTAGAAACAGAAATCTAGTGGTTACAATATTAGAAGTCAAATCTGGATGGTTAAGTTCATCATTGTATGAGGGAAGCGCTACTGATTGTAAACTTTCGTCGTATTTTTGCAACTATATAATTGCTTCAAGTATTGGTTTGTAGGGATTCGATTGGTTACAGGATTTCATCATGAGCTGACATTAGTTAGAGAACCATTGGAAAACCTGAAGGCAGTACTGGACAGCTTTTTCGTCCTAGTTTGAGACTCTTCAACAGTACGCACCCATCGCCAGGGTTCGAACCGAGGACCTTCTGGTTACAAGGCGAGCTCGCATACCATTAAGCCACTGGGACCCAATCCAATGGCCAGCCCATGAATTCTAACGACATAGCGCGACCCCTAGCCAATGTCTTCGGCTAGTATTTATCCTCATACCCGACCTGCTGCACCTTAATTTCTATTTGTTTAAAGTCAGTATCGTTTTATCCATTGATTGACTGCACCGAAATGCTTGGCGTCTGTTGGCATATCAACCCTTATAGTTTGAACGCTTCGACGATGTCTGGAATTAACATGATGTTACTTGATGGATGGTGACTAGCAGTTGGACCCAGGATGTCGCTTCGTCCTATTTCCGACTCGTCATCTGGGTTTATCTGTAGTCTCCAGTGAGTGATACCGTCCCCACTGAGACTTGAACACAACAACTATCGTTTCAAACGCCAGAGCGTTGCTCACGATAGACACTTCTTGCGCAATGGGTATCAGGTATTATTTGTCTCGGTCAAATATTTTTTCATTTTATCGGTTGGGAACACAATTATGAGCGATAATTTATGTTCGAAACGTCACCCAGGTATTACCACAGGTATCTTTTCTTTTTCTTTCACGTTCCCCAGTGGAACATAGGGCTTCAAGCTACTGGCTTGAAGTTTCTGTAGCAGTGTTTATTTTACAGGATGGGGTTGCTAGCCTCATCCCCAACCTTTCCTCTTTACCAGCATTATTTCTGGCTTAGCGAGATAAAGGAGTGTGTCGGCCGGTGATTGAACCCGGACCATGGTCGGCGAGCGTCCTAACCGCTATACCACCGACGCACACTACAGGTATCACTGTGTGATATTTGAAATTTATGTAATATGGAACACAATTACTCACTGGAGAAAGCGGGTTCATCCAGCTGAGGACGAGCTGCACTGGATTTCACTGCTAGTCACCAACCACCATGTAACACCGAATGTCTAATTGTGCGCAATCAGCAGGCAATACATTTCGTAAGACACAAATCTTTGCAGTTGAAGTTATTGCGCCGTATTTCACTGTGTACACAATCAGAAACCCATCAGTTTTTGAAGACAAGAAATCATCTAGATTGGTGATTAAATGCCTGTGTGGGATGCTAAGCTCGATTTACGCTGCACATCGGACGTAAGAATGTTTATACCCTGCCATAAATGACATACATAACCAATTCACTTTTACACAATCGAATGAAAAAGTAAGGAGACTGTTAGACTGATTTTATTACAATGTATATTCAGTGAAAACAGACTAAATACAATACAGGTTCATTGTAACATAGAATTCCACGTTAGTGGCAATTATGGAATTACTAATAAGAAGCAGCTGATACCGAGACCACACGCACGATAAACTTGAAAAGTGTTTCAAACATTTAGCCATCAAGTACAACACCACATATAGAATTATGTATATCACATTACAAAAGGCATAAAACCATTCCCAGTAATCCATAGGGAAAATAATAAATATCACGTTGAAATGTGCAGAGTTATATTTTTTTTACTGGCCAATTCGAAATATCAGTAGTCAGTTTCAGGTTCATCTGTAGGTAAAAAGTGCTGATAAAATCCGTGCGTCAAGTCAACCATTAAATCTGGTGTACATTCAGGAAGTTCACCTATTAAACGACCAGGTGAACCACCGAATATACTAAAAGGAGGTACAACTGTTTCTGGTGGCAACACTGTATTATCTCTTAATGCACAAGCATCTTTTAGTATACAACGTCGACCAATAACACAATTTTTACCGATATGTACATACGAGCCAATTTGTGCTGCGTTGACAATAGAATCCTCTTCAATGAAAACATTATCCCCGATATGAAGGGGGAAAAAGGCTACACCTTTGCTAAACTTTTTAAACGGTGGTCGGATAACAGCTTTACGACCAATAACACAATGTCTTCCAATACGAATGTTGGCCAAATCACCTCTTATGATACAACCGGACATAATTATTGTTTTTCCATTTAATACAATATTTTGGCTTCCACACAGAACAGATCTTCGACTAACTTTGTTTCCACTAGCTGTTTCTATGTACTGTGACTTTGAATAGAATACATCTGGGAGCTCCATTTATCTAAAATTGTGAAATAAATAGTATTATTATGATTGGAGAGTTTCAAAAGAAAGAAATTATTACGAATTATGCGAGATCTTATGAGAAATAGTCAGACTAATATGCTATTTCACTTATTTACAACCATAGTAAATGATAATTAAAAATATTTTACATTTAAAACGTTATCCAGTAAATGGTATTAATTCACTCAGTGATATATATGTACTGTGGGGACGTGGCTTATTGTTTTAATTGATGGACTTTTCGCCAGTGGGTCCTGGGTTTGAATCCCAGTCCACCTACTTCACGCGAGGCAACTGGGTGGTATCATTAGCCCTCACACAATCAGTGTGACTTATAACCTGGATCATGAAAAATCTGTTCCGCGAACTGAGGTAAAACAAACAATATATATTATTATTATCATTACAATCATATAACAAGACATAAACTTATCAGTAATCATATAAACGACCGTTGAGATGATATAAAATAATTTTATCTTACAACTCTGTTATTCTAGTATTAATTTATTTCTTGGTGTATTAGAAACATTATTAGTTTTGACTACCTGTTCCGACCTATTTCTACTTCACTTAACATCACTTAAAGCGCAACAATATTTGCTCCATGGTTCCACCAAATGAGAATGATGCTATGAAAACACTTGTAGTCAAACTTATGTGGCTTTTAATATATGCTTTTAGTAATCACTGGCGTGGAGCATGACAAGTACGAGTTCTATTCAGTACACTCGCCTTCATTAGGTGGCTGAGTTTTTCACTACAGAAAAACAGGTGAAATCTATTAAGTACTAATGGGACTTTTAGTGTCCGTATCCCTAAGTGACCGACTAACAGGTGCATAATACGAATCACTGAAACAGTAGAAGATCTTCTAGAATGTATGAGATTGGGGCATTTATACGTATTCCAGATGTTTTTTCATGATGACACACATATTTTAGCTTACTTTGAATAAAGTTCTACTGTTGGTTTTTTAGTAGTTCTATCATTTCAACGAATGTTCAAAATATACTGAATAAAAGTGAACATCCATTGATTTAAAATATGAAAACTCTCGAACAACTAAGTAGTATTTCACTTATTAGCACCCTTAAAGCGATCAACCCGATTGATTTGTTTGCTAAGTAATCATGGGCTACACTAACTGCCTTGGGATAAGATAGTATTATGTCTTCAAAAATGGGGTTAGTTAACACAGCTTAGGATGTTTATTATATCAAAGTTTGTAATAATTAAATTTAAGCAATTTTTGTTTGAGCTGATATCACTTAGACCGCATCAGTGTTCATATATATATATATATATATATATATATATATAGACGGGCTTAGATATAACAATGACCCAACGAGCCGTGTTACCTGTAATGAATGTTCCTGAAAGTCGTTTAGATAATAGTTACACTGAAAGCAGTTGCCATCATAGTGTAAGCCATTAACACCACGTTGTGAGTCTGAAGGCGAATTCATATAACTGTTGAGTAGGGATGTAACAGATGAAAGTTACTTCCGTCAGACGACCAGATGGTCAGCCATGTTGTCTCTTCTATCTGCGGACAGGTGTGAGATTAGAAATGGTTGATCCCGAAAGTTTTACATTCCATCTTAGATTGCTATGGCCTGTAGGAGGCGATAAGATAGTCATATGAACACTTCAACACTACGGCGTGCAGAGCCTTTATCAACCTCATTCAGCAGCTATATGACGATGCCACGTGTCAGGTATTCCACAATGGATAACACAGTGAAGAATTTTCAGTGAATACAGGAGTAAGACAGGGCTGTCTATTTTCACCGATGATATTCTTAGCTGTGATTGACCGGATTATGCGTCAACTGTGAGCTGGAAGCAAGGAGACAGGAATACGCTCGTGGACCGATAAGAAGACTCTAGAAGTAAACATAGAGAAGACGGAAGTGATGAAGATAACCAACCAACAGCGACAACAACAACCAGCATCAATTACCATCAGCGGGAGAGATTTGAAAGAGGTTACTTTCTTCACTTATCTAGGAAGCGCGGCTTCAACTACAAGCCGACGGAACGGATGAAGATGTCAGAGACAGTCAGAATCGGTACAGCAAGGTAAGCCTCCACCAACCTGAAACCAATTTGGAAATCTTCTGCACTCAGCTAGCGTAAAGAACAAGATTCGGATTTTCAACACCAATGTCAAGTTGGTCCTTCTCTAAGGGTCAGAAACTCGCACTGCGTGAAACGAAAAGGATTTCCAACGGGTTGCATACTTTCATCAACAGCTACCTTCGTCGGTTACATGTTGAAGATCCAGTAGCGAGCCATAAAGAATAAGTAAGAAGCAACTTTGGCAACAAACCAAGCAAGAGCTGACTGTTCAGCAAATATGTAAGAGAAAGTGGAGATGGATCGGCCATACATTGAGAGAACCGTCTAATGACATTGCGCGTCAGGCCCTCAAGTGGAATCCAAATGGGAAGTGACGAGTGAGTTGTCCTGAGTTGACATGGAGGAGATCGTGAGATGAGGAGGCAAATGAGGATATGGTCAATCGTGAACCCATCTGAAGAGGAAGGGAGGAAACAAAACAAAGTGGAGATGTGTTATTGAAGCCCTATGCTCCATTCGGAACCCAAGGGAATAATAATAGCAATAACAGTTTGCGCCTTGTTAAGTGTTAATTCTCTCTGTCTGTCTGTTTTCGACATGGAATTTTGCACAAATGTGCGGAAGTTCAAGTCGCCACACTCCGCGTAGCACGCGAAGCAAGAGAAGAAGGTACAAATACAATTCTCTACCCTCAGACTTGCGTCATATTGATGTCAGCACCAAACAGATTCATTAGTCTTTTGAAATTTGGGATGTGATTTAGATCCTTAAAGTTTATGGTTGGTAATTATGTATACACACTTCAAATTAACACGTGGCAATAACTGCGGTCTTAAATCACCTATCTATTTGATAAGCCTAAGACTTAATGGGAATATTAACATTAAAAAAAAACTGGACTATTTTATACCATTCATTTACTTGTATTTATGATACGCTGGGTGAATAATGTCACCAATACATAGCTGACTGCATATATGCTATAGCATACTTCATGAATTATGAATAAGTGGATTTATATCACTTCGAAAAGCACAGTAAAAACTGTAACTTAATGTCTACACAAGTCGCATACCTATGATATGGTGTAATGTGGTGAAGGAATTTAGTGACTTACAGTAAGCTGAGACATCAGATATAAAGGGACTTGATAGTTTAAAAGAATCAAATATTTCCTTCAGTCAAAATTAACAGCCATCACTTTTCAATTTTTGTTGTTGTTAGTACAGATGGTACGAAACGACGTGACTCAATCGGTTAGGATGCTTTTTCTGTGGTATATAACATTTACATACTGAGGCAGTTACCTTGATAATACCATGATATGAATAATTATTACGGTTTTATTATTAATTTAGCTCTGAATTACATTCGAAAATTAGGTAAAAATCCAAATTTAGGTACAAAATAATTATTCCAATATGGGGATTCTGTTGATCTAACGTAACAATTACTTGTAGTTAACTTTCAGCAATACACCAGGATGCCCACCATTTCGGTCAATGTTATCCTAGGATTTAGTTTTTCTTGTCTTTGCTCCTTTAGAGCATATTTTTCTACCCATTCGGACAAATGTGGGGACAAAATGGGGACATTTTGGGGAAAATGGGGTCATGGTGGGGACAACTGGACTTTACAAAATGGGGAAAAGGGGGAAAATCTTACTATTTCCCCATTTTGTCCCCATTTTTCCTCAATGCAATGTTCCCATTTTGTCCCCATTTTAGACACGATTTTCCCTATTTTTGTCGATTTGGGTAGACATTAATAACATAACACTACACTGTGTGCCGCAAAAATGTCCCCCCTGAAAACAAAATTTGGGGCAATAGTGGGGTGTTATGGGGGGAGTAAGTGCAAACATTTTCACGGAACTTCAGGGGAATACCTCTTTTTTTCGCAAAAAACCTCAACATTGCCCAAAACGTTTTGTTTTGGGTCCTATACAGGACCAGTACACTGGATCCAAGCTAGTATAAACCAATTTGATTTCGTTCTGCTCGCCTCTTGACTGTGAGGTAAAAGTTCCTGCGTGACTCGTCCCGCCACTCGACTGTCGTAGCTTTGGTTGACATCAAAAGTAGTGCTGGAATTAATTATGTTGTTCGCAGTAGGCTTAAAATGCTTTTGCAGTGAATGAATTCCAGTAAAAAAAATTCGAAATTATGAATGTTCACAAGCGTATCTCAAACTTAAGCTTCAGGAAACCAACTGACCTCATCAAAAATGTGAATTGTGAAAAATGTTAGTAACGTAACCTACAGAAGACGCGCGTTTTTATTGTGGATTAAGGATAACCAATATCCAATATCGTTTTTACGAGCTAGTATAAACTAATTGCATTTCTTTGGTATTCCGTCTTAATTATGAGACATAGGTTCCTGTGCAGCCACTGCGTCACAGTTTGCTGTAGTTTCTAAATAGTGACTTACTATAACACCTAAATCCAAATTAGTCTGAACTGATGGGAGTGTTATTCCTTCTAGTTCGTAGGAGCTGATGCTTGCCTGCCCGATGCGCACGGTTGCGCATTTTGCTACACTGATCAGGAGCATCCACGTTTGCACCTTTCTGACAATTTCCTGAGGTCCTTTCGCAAAGTGAGCGTACCACTCTCGCCCCTCAGCTCTCTCCAGAATTTTACTCATCTGCTTGTAGCACTATAGGGGAATCAGTGAGCAGAAATAACTTACTGACACACAAAATAAACAGGAGAGGTTCGAATGCCATACCCTATGGCACTGAGCCAGTAGGAGAGGTTTTATTTGGTCTTAACCCTCAGCCTATCATCCGTGAGGAATTCCTATGATACCAAAACTTTCCAACTTCATTAGTGGTTGTTTGTGAGGAACTTTATCAAAGGCTTTGCTGAATTCTATTAAAACGAAGTCAACGGGTCTTTTGTTGTCCCTTGATTTGAACTAGCTTTCTCTTATAATGAGAATACTTGACAGGCACGAGAGGTTTCTCCTGAAGCCAATATGTTCCGTGGATAACATTTTGTTGTTTTCCAGGTATGCTATGATGCTTTTCTTGACGATTCTTTCCAATGTCTTGATTGAAGTTCTAGTGAGATCAACAGGCCTACCTATGGAAGTGAACATTGAACGTTGGTTCACTGGCCTTGGTCGCCATTGGTGGGCAACTTGAGGGCGCGAGTTTTTCAATCGTTTCGAAGAGGATGAAAGAAAACGAATAAAAGCACTTCATATTAAGTATAAAACATTTGTTTACAGACCATGTACTAAACCTCAATTTTAATTGCCAAATAATAAAACTTCCTTCTTACCACCATTGGTGTTTCGGAGTTAAAGTCGAGAATCAGTCGTCGTATTTATTGGTTTGGATCATCCTCGTAACAAAAGGAACTCAGCGTTAAGTTCCTTGACAAGGCATGTAATTTGAGGCGTTTTGTCTTGATCCTCGTTTGCGGATAGGGGTTACTATTGTGTCTTTCCGGTATCATGGCAACACTCCATCTAGGAAGGATAGCTTGGATGTCGTGGTCAATGGACCATCTTTGTGAGCTGAAAGCTCCTTGAGAAACATTGGATGGAGATTATCAGGACCCATTGACTTCCCTGCACCTAGTTTCTTTAGTCAGTTCAGCACGAAGTCTTGGTCTACCTCAACATAACCTATCCCGTATTCCTATGATGCAGCCGGAAATGATCCTATGGTGACTGATGACTCCTGTGTAAAGACTTGTAGAAGTAGTCTGCCACTGCTTCTGCCTTTTCTTGACCTTCTTCGATTGTGTCATTGCTAACAGTCGCGTTCGGGACACCATTGGATGCCTTTATCCCTGAAGTTCATGTATGACAAAATTTTATTAGTTTGCACCTTTTCATTTTGAGACAGATATGCTTCGAACTTGACCCTCGATCAGCGGTATCCCATAATTTTCTGATCTCAGAGTCCCAAATGTGGCGAACAGGTTCCAACAATTGTGTTTATGTCCGAATAACTAACGAACCTCTCGGTTGATCCAAGGGCGACTTTTTGGGTCAGATCAAGGGGTGAAAGGCTCAGTTACTTTGGTGTAAAGTTGTTAAAACCAGCTACAAGTGGATTCTTCTCGGGAATCTGGATTTATGTACCAGCTCACTCAGTTGGCTGCTGAGACAATCGCATTTATATCAGCATTCCCATCGTTTGGTCGAGCTGTGGTTTTCGCCTTGATACTGCTGCTGTTTACTTGACAGTGAGCAGAG